GCTGATTGCATTGGCTACACAAGCCAACCTTGAAATGCATCACATTGATATTAATAATGCATTTTTGCATGGTTTTTTGGATGAGGAAGTTTGTATGCTTCCTCCAAAAGGTTACTTTAAAGCTAAGAAGGAAGAGGTGTGTCTGCTGAAAAGGAGTCTTTATGGCTTGAAACAAGCCTCTAGACAATGGAATATAGAATTTTCAGATAAACTTTTGGCTTATGGCTTCACTTAGTCATCACATGATCATTGTTTATTTGTGAAGAGGAAGGCTAATTCTTTTCTTGGGTTGCTTATATATGTGGATGATGTGCTCATTGGTGGCACTTCTTTGGCAGAAATTAGCAACCTTAAGTCATATCTTCACAGCTTGTTTACTATCAAGGATCTGGGGGAGGTCAAATACTTCTTGGGGCTTGAAATTTGCAGAACTGCTGGTGGGACTTACCTAAGTCAGAGGAAATACATTTTGGATCTCATCCAAGATCTTGGGTTACAGGATGCAAAAACTGTTTCAACACCTTTGCCACAGGGTTTGAATTTATCTGCTATTGACTCTCCCTCACTACCTACCTCAAAAACTTATAAAAGATTGGTTGGAAAACTCCTGTATCTTAATCTTTCAAGGCCTGATGTCTCTTTTGCCATACAACAGCTTAGTCAGTATTTACAGACACCATCTCAAGCACACTGGGGTGCAGCATTGCATGTGGTTAAATACTTGAAGGGGAATCCTTCTTTGGGTTTATTTTACAAAGCTGAACAATCTTCTCAACTAGAGGCATTTCATGATGTCGATTGGGGAAGTTGTGCACTAAGTAGGAAATCATTGACTGGGTACAGCATTTTTCTGGGACAAACTCTTATCTCTTGGAAAACCAAGAAGCAAAAAACTGTGTCACGTTCTTCGGCAGAGGCTGAATATCGTTCCATGGCCACAACCGTTTGTGAATTGCAATAGATCACCTATGTTGCTCTGGATCTTGGTCTTCCTATTCCTCAGCCCATCAAGCTTTGGTGCGATAATAAAGCAGCTCTTTACATCACCGCAAACCCCGTCTTTCACAAACGGACTAAGCATCTTGACATCGACTGCCATGTTGTTCGAAACAAGTTCAAAGAAGGTTTCATCACACCTTTACATGTTCCTTCTTCCTGTCAACCTGCAGACCTCTTTACTAAAGCCCTTGGTGGTCCGGATTTTCGCAAGTTTGTCTGCAAGATGGGATTGTGCTCTGTTGATCCCATTCCCGCTTGAGGGGGGGTGTTAAGATGAAGGGAATTCAATGCTTGCATGGAGAATAGCAGACGAGTTTATTTGGAGACTTCTTATTTTATATCTTTATTGTTGGATTTTACTTTAGTACCCTTAAGTTGTTGTTTCTTTTTGTTCTCACATTTTAGCTTGACACGTTTGGCTTTAGTGATAGCATTAGTTCTCACGTGGTGTGCATGCTATTTGTACTTCTTCTTCTTTATGATGAATGGATAAGAAATTAATGGCGGAAAATGAGCTCACAGAATTCTCTCTCAATTTCTCTCTGTAAATCTTTTACATTTCATGATAAATTTTCTCCGGATCTACAAAGCGCACATAGGAGACCACATAACCCTCGCTGATACGCCCCGAGAAGATCGCTCGAAGGCAACGGCAGTGGCTTGTAATGCGGCTGGAGGCACGCACACTGCCAAGGGAACGTGGGCGACGCAAGACGATGGCGCGAGGATCTTGCGCGAGGGCCAAGCACGCGATCGCGGGCATGGCCGAAGAGCTCGCATGAGTGCTGCGTGTAGGCGTCCATGGACGAGACAGCACGCACGAGGTATTTGGGATGCAAGGATAGTCAGCGTGACTTAAAGGGCAAGGGGCGAGAAGCCTTCTAAAATGACCGTGGCTATTTTTTGGAGATGGCCAAATTATTCTAGAGGATATTTATTAATTAGTATATATATGGCCATAAAATTTATTTGTTGTGTGTTTGTTAGTGTAGATTGGTAGGAGATTAATTAGTTTGGTAATATTTAGGATTAGTAGTTACTTTACGACGTGAGTTAGTTTTTTAGTGTTAAGAGTTTTCTTTTTTTCGTAAGTCTTGGATGCTAGATATTTAGTTGTCTTAGGATTTATTTTAGGATTAGAAGTTTGTTCCTTGTAGGATTTGTCTTTATTTTCTTTAAATACCTCCGCACTCATTCGATTTTCTTCAAGTAATGAAGTAACAAGAAAAAATCGTTTGAGGTAACAAAATCTCGTGTGTTTAACAAAGATCCTTAATGCGTTGTTTTCACCAACCGTGTAGAAGGAAGGCCAAAAGTGCGCCCTTCTACACAATCTATTGTGAAGAAAGAAAGCCCTTAGAGCGCCCCTCGACACAAATCAAGATAGCGAGATACACGATCTTCATGACCAGCCCCCCACGACACACCACCGCCCGGAACCACCTCGATGTTAGGGAGGCCGACGAGCTGCAACCACGAGAAAACATCAGGACCTCGGCGAAAACCACCCCTGGATGGTTGTCCGCCTCCATCGGCCCAAACTGACAAGGAAAATGCATAATTGGGGGAAACGCTGCGCGGCCTAGGGCATACCGTTGGCAAAAGGCGCGTCTTACCGCTAGAAAAGACATACGGTCGAGAAGAAAGGAAGGCGAGTGTGAGCGAAATGGGGAGAAAATTGCAAGAGAGAAATTAGGGCTTCTTATAGTTATCTCATGTTTTCTAAAAACATTTTTAACACGCTCATCCTACTTTTTTTCGACAAGACAAATTGTTTTGAATAAGATCTTATACATTGTGGCTAAGATACCTATAAAAACATTTTGAATTGTTTCATCTAAAAGTGAACATGAGTCGGTATGGTTCGGAGATTAAGAAATCTCTAGCACCGTATAAAAATTAGGGACAATTCAATTTGGAACTCCGGAAATTTCTACTTATTTTATAATATTTAAAATGAATAATTAGTTATATTTCAGCATCTTCTTGGAGGACATGAAATCTTGATCTCGTGCCTCCTTGATATGCCTTTTTTAGGATCCTCAATATTTCACCATATTAAAGATTATTTGAAATCAACTTTAGAAATGTTGACATCCGACCTGGCGTACACGTAAACAGGTAACACGTGGCATCAAAAACACCTAATGACAATTCCTAAGTGTTGAAAACTATGACAAGACTACTCGAACATTTCCAAACATCTTATCAAACAACTCGGATGGAGATAGAATCCAAAACAAGACCTCCGACATCCCTTGTCGGTGGTCAGACTATGAAGCATTGCTACATGAAGATCAAATAGATGCACGAAGTACTCGGATAATGCACCATGAGAAGACCCATCGGATCCCGCAAGATGTGGGACTCTAATAGAACATTAACTGCTGAAAAGACATGTGTAAGCTATCTTGTGGAAAAGCAACTGTCTAGCGTGGGACCCACTTGATAGTTTTACACCTTGCAATAAAATCGCATTAAATGATAATCATGCCAATAACATACGAACCTCGAAAGTTGTACCCATAAGTTTTAAAGTATAAATACCCCACAATTATTAGAGGAAAAGGAACTTACGTTCAAAAAATCTCACTCCCAAATACTCTTCAACTGTACACGACATTCTGAGCTGCTATATATATATATCTGAGGCGGTCCGACCTCATTCCATATTAATTAAAGCATGTTTATCTTGTTTTGTCTACACTAATATCCTTATTCACACTATAATTTTTAATTAAACACTGTTTAAACTTAGAGGTTACCCTGAACTTGTTGTTGCATAATTTGCGTGACAACAAGTAACTCAAAATTTAAAATTCAGACAAAATATAATATAATTTTTTTAATAATGTTTCTTTAACCTTTAATAGAACAAGACTAAGAAAAAATATCAACAACTTTAAGCGAAGTTAAAATAAATTTCAAAATATTTTTTTTTACAAACAAAATTCTTTAATCCATTTTAAATAATTTATTAAACAGAGAAAATCCAATTGTAGATCAAGTGTTATTAAGAATAAAATTTAAGCGAAATTTAAGTGTTTTACTATATATTATTTAGTATTATAAAAATACTCTAATTAAATATAAATAAAGATGATATAAAACATGCGAACAACATACATCTAATATTATGAGATGCTTTAATTCGATTCTTGTACAGATATTTGTGAAATCTTCAGAATCATATCTATTATTTTTTCAGTTCAGCGAAAATCAAACGATCAACTGCTATTTTTTAGCTCAAGGCGATTTCAGTCTTGTCTTCAAAATAGTTCGTAATTCTTCGAGTTCCACGCTGAGCCGTAGTTTCATCTACTATTCCCTTGTCAATACCGTCATTGTAATTTCCTAAAAATCGGGGCCCCCATTT